TTGACTTTGCAGTCCATGAGCAGAGGTCCCTGGGACCATCAAGGGAGAAGAGCAGAGTGTGGGACCCTACCCAGTGAAACAGTAATGCCGGGGATGGAGGCAGAGATGGAGATGATGACGATAACGTGCAGAGATGGAGCGGCCAGGGACTCTAGACTCAGAGAGGGAGAGGGGCTGTGTGCTGACCACTGGGGCCGGGGGGGTGGGCAGGGAGAGGGAAGGTTTGAAAGGTATACCCTTTGTTGATTGATGATGCATAGAGGGGATTGTAACCATGACAATGAAACGATATATGATAGGATGAATGTAAACCTAATGTTCTCCCATGTAAACTATCACATAATTCACAATAAAACATTTAAAACAACAACAACAACTGAACATGCCTGGAGGACTTTCTGAAATGCGTGTGCACGTGGTGTGTTAGTTGGGAAGTCTGCTGTGGACATGAGGGTAGCCTTAGTTGCCTTGGACAAGGAGGTACCAGGAGCACCACAGGGGAACTCAGTAAAGCTGACCTCAACCTGAGGTGTCCTGAGAGGCACAAAACTCAGGAAGCGGACAGCACAGGCTCTTTCTGTCCTGCATGGTGTGACCTGGGTGTGTCCTGCCTGTGACTACAGTACAGGTGGGGTGCACTGGCTGAGCCCTGGAGGGGTAGCATCTCCATGTGCCACTGTCTGAGACCAGCAGCTCCTTCTAGGGTAGGCAAAGGGCCAGTGGCTGGTCCCAGGAGGTCCTCTCTACTGGCAGAGAGGGCAGTTACCAGCCCCCTGAAATCTCCCGGCAGGTCCCGGACCTGTCTACATTGTGGCTGTGTCCCTAACAAGTCTGTGCGCTCCTTCTTCCCATTGGAGCTCAGCTCCCCAGCCATGGTTGTAAAGTGCACCTTGTTCTTCCTAACCCCTCTTTCCTACAGCTCGCACCCCAGCCCTGACTCCCAGCGGTGGCTTTCTGCCATCTCCCAGAGAGTCTGGGGCGTGGTTATGGCTGCTTAGTGTACCAATCCTGTGCTGAGTGTTTGCGAGTGCTTGAAGACAAGACACATAGTCTTGCTAAGTCATCGGGAAACTCTGATAGACAGACCAGGAAGATGTTTTACAGACTAGGATGGGGACTAGAGTTGGCAAAGAGCTCCTGGCAGATCAGAACTCAGCATCTCCAAAGGTGGGTCATGCCTTCCTTGGTTATTGTCTTGGGAGCAGACTTGAGGGGCTGCGGCAGTACAGATAATTAGACACAATCCACGCAGTTCACTAAGGTGCCATCTGAGCCCTAAAAATGGGGACTGTCATAGTTAAGTAGTGTTGTTGTAGCAGAAATAACACAAGTGGGTAGCTTTACCAAACGATTTTTTTCTCACACAGTTTAGGAGTCTGTTAGGTACCAGGAGTCAACCCTTTACACAATAGAATAAGTCTGAAAGTCTGAATTCAGAGGGTCAGCTCCAAGGGAAGGCTCTAGAGGAAGGTCCTTGTCTCCTTTCAACATCGGCAGGACCAGCATCCCTTGGAGAGAGATCTTCATGGCACCAATCTTCCCCTGGGTCTAGGAGGTTCCCAGCACCGGGAGCCTGGGTCCAACGACAGTTCCACTCCCAACTCTTCTTTCTTGGTGACAGTAGGTCCCTCTGATCTCTGCTTGCTTATTTAATCTCCTTTCTCTTTCAAAAGGGAGTCTTGGTGTGACTCTGTAGCATCAGCACTGGACTGCTAACCATAGCAGTTCAAACCCACCAGCTACTCCTTGGAAATCCTCCTTGGAAAATTGTCTCGACAACACTTAACAATAATATGATCTCAAAAGAGATAGACTCAAACATACAATTAACCCTGTAGATTTTGTCATGCTTTATTAACCATGTTGCTCTTGTTGTTAAGTGCCATCCAGTTGGTTCTGACACATAGTGACCCTATATAGGATTTCGGTGACACGGCTGGTGGGTTTGAACTGCCGATATTGTGGTTAGCAGTCCAGTGCTTATCCTACAGCCCCACACCAGGACCAACGACTTCTCATCCTGCCTCATTAGCATCTTATTGTTGTTGTTGGGTGCCGTCAAGTCCGTTTTCACTCATAGTGACACTCTGCACAAAAGAATGAAATACCGCCCAGTTCTGTGCCTTCCTCACAATTGTTACATTTCAGTCCATTGCTGCTACCACTGTGTCAATCCATCTCCTTGGGGGTCTTCCTCTTTTTCTCTGACCCTCCACTTTATGAAGCATGATGTCCTTCTCCAGGGTCTGGTCCCTCCTAACAGTGTGTCCAAAGTATGAGATGAAGTCGTATCATCCTGGCTTCTAATGAGCCTTCTGGCAGTACTTCTTCCAACACAGATTTGTTTGTTTTTCTGTAATCCATGGTACTTTTAATATTATCCTCAACACCATAACTCAAATGCATCAATTCTTCTATTGTCTTCCTTATTCATTATTCGACTTTCACATGCAAATGAGGTGATTGAAATACCATGAGTTGAGTCAGGTACACCTTAGTCCTCAAACTGTTTGCTCTTTAAAACTTTAAAAACTACTTGTAAACAACAACAACAAAACGACTTGTACAATAAATGTGCCCAATGCAGTATGTCTTTGATTCCTTAACTGTGGATCCAAGCAAAATGAAATCTTCAATCTTTTATTCATTTATCATAACGTTATGTGTTGGTCCAGTTGTGAGGATTTGCATTCTCTTTACATTGTGGTGCAATCAGATTAACATCATGTTGTTGTTGTTAAGTGCCCATCAAGTCGGTTCCAACTCAGCTGGTGGGTTTGAACTGCCAACTTTGTGGTTCGGAGTCCAGTACTGATCCTGCAGTGCCACACCAGGAGTCCCATTAACATCATAGAGAATAGGATTTACAACACAAAGATAATTATATCAGACCACAAAATGGAAGATTATTGCTTAATCTTGAGACTCATGGTCCTGAAATAAACTCTGAGGGGTCTGTGAAGATCTGGCTGGGGGCAACTTACCTTCTGTGGCAGTCAGGGGAGCCAGCAGGCTGAGGAGGGGCTGTGCCGCAACATTTACCTACAGCTTTAAATGTCCTACCCAGGTATCCAGAGGCTCCCCAAAGTCCTGAGCTGTGCTCCCTTGTGCGTACTTGCTTTCATTCATAATTGAGCCCTCCGCATCCTGATGTGGGCAACTCAGGAGATGGAGGCCTACCCCCAACAAGCCTCAGCCCCATGGGGAGGCCTGTGGACCCAGCCCTGGGGAAGTCACCTCAGGACCAGAGCTAGGATGCAGCAGGATGTCACTGGGTCCTGACAGGACAACTTTGTTGAGGTGGTCTCTAGCATTAAGTCAATCAGTCAGCACTGTCCTATGGCTGTGATGGCCACTGCTTTCCCCCCCCCCCCATTTTGGGACTACCCTCTTAGCCTGAAGAGGAACAGAGTTGTTGTTAACATTGGGTGAATGTTGGGGCAACAGTTGTGGAAATTTCTGACTGGCCAAGGCATTCCATATCTACAAGGCAGGGATGAGTCTTCCCCCAGCTTGGAAGGATGTGTGTGTATGTTGGGGGGAGTCGGGGGGGGGCGGGGGGAAAGCATGGTTTGAAGGACATTCAGATTGTAAGCAAAGTGTGTGTGTGTGACCGTAATTTATCAAGTGTGGGTGGAGGAGTCCGGGGAAGGAAGGGAGCACCTCCCATTTTGATGAAAAGGAGATGATGGCACCGAGCCGATTATTGTGCTAAGTCCTCACCTTCAGTGTCTACACACCCTTACACAACAGGGAGGGGCGCTGGGGTCCAGGGGGGTTAATCACAGCCTCGACTCCCACAGCTCACTAGCAGCTGTTCTGGTTCGCGAACTTTGGGATTAACCTTTCCCAGTGCTTCTCCAAGTGCGATTCCAGTCTGGAATATCTCTGGAGGGTGCTTGTCAAAAATGAGTATTTCAGGGTCCTATCCCAAACTCGGTGAAACAGACTCTCTGGGAAGAGGTCCAGGAGCCAGCATTGTAGCCTGTGAAGTCCAATGTTTCCAGCAAGTTTCCTGAAGGAATAACTTCCAATTGAGGAACAAACCAAGAAGGAGTGGGCAGGGAAGACCCTGAGAGGGAGGAGGTTTTCCTAGGAAGTTTGGGGGAGCCTGAAGAAACTAGGGTCTGGCTTCCCCATTCCTTCTCTGCATTCCCCTCCACTCCCACCATGGTAGGGAAAGGGGCAGGAGGGGTTCTCAGTGGGTGAAGGGCAGTGTGTTTGGGGCTGAGGAAACACAGTGAGAAGAGGGGAGTACCATGAAGCAAGTGAAGGTGTATGTTGTCAGAACTAAGAGACCTCTGGAAGCCTAGCCCAGGCGTGCCCCTCTAGGCAGCTCAGGAAGATGACCTAACTGTGGGAGGTGGGGGCTGCAAGGAGAAAGAGGCTTCAGTGGTGCTCTGGGTGGGAGAGGACAGACTGCAGTTCTGGGATTGAGGAGGCGAGGGGGAGTGGGGAGTACTGTTAGGGGATGGGGTGAAGGGAGGGAGTCTGGTCCCCAAGGCGAACCCCAGTGGGGCACGTTGATTTTGAGTAGCTGATGGTGCATCTTTGGAGGTGCGTCTGAAATGTGAGGCAAGAGGAGGTAGGGACTGGAGGGACACGATGGCAAGATTATCCTAAAGTCCACACATTGGAGGGTGGGGACAGTGTGTGAACCAGATCTGCATCACTCTAAGGCTCAGTTTTCTCATCTGTAAAATGAAATGTGGGGATGGTTTTGTGAGATACAGAAACATAATCACAGCATTGAAAGAGTGTAGGACTTGGGGGCTGCCCCAAGGGGAAAGGAGAGCTTGTCCGGGTTCTGCCGCCCGGCGGGCTGGAGGCAACATTGCCTCCTGGTGGTGGCGCTCTTCCCTGAGCGACTGAGCCGCGCAAGGGGGGGCGACGACGGGGCGGGTTGCTTGTGGGCTGCCGGTCCTAGTCCGTGAGTCAACCCGCACCAGGCGCTGCGCCTGCCCGTCCGCTGACTATTCCCGCGGTGGTATCCTGGCCAGGATCGCCCCGTCGACGGCATGGTAGGTGCGGGGGCTGGGGGCGCGGCCGGGTGGAGGAAAGGGAGCGTAGGGCGCTCCTGGGCGTCAGGGTCGTAGGCGATCTCATCCACGCCGTGGGGCCGAGCCCTCCGGTGCGGCTACGACCCTTCCCCGGGTTTGGGAAGCCGCCCCGAACCCCAGACGGCGCCTGCGCGCTCCGGCTCATCCCCAGAGTGCGTAAAATGCACTTGGGCCCCCAATGCGGAGATTCGGTGTGGTAGAGGCAGGGAGGCTGGGGGAGGCAGGATTGGGAGAGAACCAAGGACTAGGATGCAGCACCCGAGAAAAGGAACGTGGGTGCCCAGGCACGCAGGCAGTGGGGAATGAAGCCGAAGCGAGGAATCGAGCCTGAAGGGAGGAATGGGGGGGACACTTGACCCACCCACAGGCGGGACCAGACTGGGGCGGGCATCTGGCCTTTCCTGACTGGACACATGCCCAGCCGAATTGGGCTTCAGCTGCTGCTCATTATCCCCTGGTCTCTGCCGGTCCCTTTCCTTCTGGGGCAATGAAGATCATGCTAATCTAGATTGAATGAACGTTTAGAGTACCAGCCACACTTCTGTGAACTGTCCGTGTGTGTTCAGCAAATCTTCACAGAACTCTGAGGTAGGACGCCCATTTTGCAGATCAGACTGAGGCACAATGAAGAAAAGTCATAGCTGGAGTGGCAAAGTCAGGGTTTGACCCAGACGCGGATTCCTAGCCAGTAGAGTCAGTGACTGAGCAGAGCGCTGCTAGAACAGAAAGACCACACGTGGGTGTGAATAAACAGAAATTTATTCTCTCACAGATTTCCTAGGCTACAATTCAGGGGAAAGCTTTCTCTCTCTGTTGTCTCTGGAGGAAAGTTCTTGTCTGTTTGCGCATCAGTTCCTGGGTGATCTTCGTGTGGTTGGCATTTCTCTTCTCCCAAGTTTAGGAGGTTGTCAGAGCAGGGACCCTGGGTCTAAGGGATGCACACTGCTCCAGGCACTTTTATCTGATAGTAGTCGGGTTTCTCCTTCCCACCTGTGAGGCGGCTAAAGCCAGTTCCTCATTAGGGTTCCATACACCTTATTTAATAAGGAGCTCTGGTACCGTAGTGGTTACGAATCGGGCTGTGAACTGCAAGGTCAGCAGTTCAAAACTACCATACAGCCTCAGAAACTCTGTATAGGGTCGCTATGAGTCGGAACTGACTCCATGGCATATAATTACCACCACCACCACCACCACACACCTTATTTGCATGTGATACAACCAGAATACTCCTTAGAGATCATGAGGGCCAGACTTCGTCTCTCATACTTTGGACATACTATCAGGAGGGACCAGTCCCTGGAGAAGGACATCATGCTTGGTAAAGTGGACGGACAGCAGGAAAAGAGGGAGACTCCCAACGAGATGGATTGGCACAGTGGCAGCAACTGGGCTCAAGTGTAGCAGCAATGTAAGGAGGGCGCAGAACCAGGCAGTGTTTTGTTCTGTTGTACATTGGGTTGCTATGAGTTGAAACCCACTTGACGGCACGTAACAACCACGCACCTTACTTGTATTCGCAGTAAACTGCCCAATCCCATATTACAAGCACCCTATTTGTATAGTCCTACAGAGTCCTGGTGTGATACTGTTGGATAAGCACTGGACGCAAGGTCAGTTTGAACCACAGGTTGGCGGTTCAAGCTCACCAGCTGCTCCTCGGAAACTATACAGGGTTGCTGTGAGTCTGAACTGACTCGATGGCACTTAACAACAACAACAACAACAAGAAGCTCTTCCTGTGGTGCGGTAGGATAAGCACTGGACTGCTAACAAGATTGGTGGTTCAAACCCACCAGCTACTCCTCAGAAACCCTATACTGGGCCACTGTGAGTCGGAACTGACTAGACGGCACTTAACAGCAACCCAGTCTTTTGTTGGGAATTAGAAGACTATGGATAGAAAGGCCACATGAAAGCGATCTGTATATCTATCACTATACATCTGTGAAATTGTAGTACCTGTAACTTTGAATGACAGTTCGTTCTTTCTCAATAGCACATAAAATAATGGCCATCTTATCATCAATAACTCTTGGTTTGATGAATTAATTATTACAGAGCTAGTTAGTATCCAAGGAGCTCTAGTAGCATAGTGGTTACAAAATGGGCTTTGAACCCCAAGGTCAGCAGTTCGAAACTACCAGCTGTTCTGAGGGAGAAAGATGAGGCTTTCTGCTCCCATAAAGATTTACAGTCTCAGAAACCCTGTACGGGGTTGCTATGAGTTGGAACAAACTCCAAGGCACATAACCAACCAACCAAGTTAGTATCCATTTGCTTTAGCATCTCTACGCTGGAGAGCAAGATTCAGTGTCTCTTCTGACATCCATTTTGACCTTTTCCTTCTTTCTTGTCTTCTTAATGACCTTTTGCTTCCTTCCTATATGATGTTCTTGATGTCATCCCACAACTCTTCTGATCTTCGGTCTTTAGTGTTTAATGTATCAAATCTGTTCTTCAGATGATCTCTAAATTCAGATGGGATATATTCAAGGTCTTATTTTGGCTCTCGTGGATTGGCCAAGTAGCAGCATCAATGGGCTCAAGCGTGGCAACAGTAGTGAGGTTGGCCCAAAATTGGGCAGTGTTTCGTTCTGCTGTGCATAAGGTTGCTATGGGTCAGTACCGACTCGGTGGCACCTAACAACAACAACAGTTGATATCCACCAAGTGACTTATCTGGGGGGTTCTCCCTTTTGTTCTGCAGACCCCTTTTTGCCTCAATTGCTCCACCCCTCCTGAGGACCTGACCCCAGCGAGTGCAAGGAGCTCTGTCCTCTGCAATGGCAATAGGACTTGGGAATTCTTTGAACTCGAGGACCTGACCCTGCCTGATGAGGTGCTAAGAGTCAAGTACCTGGGACCCCAGCAGACAAAGCTGTTCGTGCCCATCTGTGCCATGTACCTGCTGATCTTCATGGTGGGCACCGTGGGCAATGGGCTGACCTGCGTGGTCATCCTATGCCACAAGACCATGTGCACACCCACCAACTACTACCTGCTCAGCCTCGCCGTGTCTGACCTGCTGGTGCTGCTCATCGGCCTGCCCTTGGAGCTCTATGAGATGTGGCGCAACTATCCCTTCCTGCTGGGCACCGGTGGCTGCTACTTCCGCACACTGCTCTTCGAGACAGTCTGCCTAGCCTCTGTGCTCAACGTCACTGCCCTGAGCGTGGAGCGCTATGTGGCCGTGGTGCACCCACTACGGGCCAGGTCCTTGGTGACACGGACTCACGTGCGCCGCGTGCTGGCGGCTGTCTGGGCCCTGGCCGTGCTCTGCTCTCTGCCCAACACCAGCCTGCATGGCATCCAATGGCTGGTTGTGCCCTGCCGAGGCCTGGTGCCCGACTCCGCCATCTGCACTGTGGTCCACTCACGGACCATCTACAACCTGGTGGTGCAGACCACCGCACTGATCTTCTTCTGCTTGCCCATGGTCACCATCAGCGTGTTCTACCTGCTCATCGGGCTGCAGCTGAGGCGCGAGAGGTTGCTGCTCATTCAGGAAATCCAGAACAGGGGTGCCACCAGGTCCCGAGATATCTGTGGGCTCCAGCGGCAGCAGCTGCAGGAAAAGGGCCGGCGGCAGGTGACCAAGATGCTGTGTAAGTGCTGTTGCTGGGCAGAGTGGACTGAGCCAGGCATGGGATGTGAGGCTGGGGGATCAGGGCCTGCAGGGAATCCTGGTGTGTGCTGGGTTTATGGTACCCAAGGGTGTAGTTTGGGGTAAGTATTCCCAGCTTCTCCTCACCCGTGTGTGTATGTGTGTGTGTGTGTATGTGCGTGCTCTTTGAGATTACCTGGCTAGAAATTTACATTCAAGGTAAATGTTATTGGCTCACTGCAGGTTGGCGACATCATTTGCGGGTCCAGTGTAAACTTCAAATTCAAAGTCCTTGCTGGAAAATTAGAGTCAAGACCAATAGTAGAGCGGGAAAGCAAGTGTGGGGACTAAGCATGGGGCCCTGTATGTATAATCACGCAGTCCACACCCATGAATCAAACCGCTGAAAGGGGCGTGGTATGGACTGTGTGTGATGTTGTGTGTATGGTGTATGTTTGTGTGCATGGTATGCAGTGTGTGTGGTATGTATGTGGTGTGTGGTATATGTGGTGTGTGTGTGTTGTCATATTTATGGTGTGTGGTTTGGTGTGTGTGGTATGTATGTGTGGATATGCGGTGTGTATAGTATGTCTTTGGTGTGGTGTTTATGGTGTACATGTATGGTGTGTATGTATGTGGTATATGTAGTGTGTTTGTGTGTATGTGTGTGGTGTGATGTATGTATGTGTGTACAGTGTGTATGGTGTATGGAGTGTGGTATGTACTGTGTGTGTGTGTAAGGTATGTGTTGTGTTGTGTTGTATAGGTGTGTGTGTGTGTATGTGTGTGTGTATGAGGGCATGTGAATGACAAAGCAGGGCCTGGACCTTCCAGGTCTTCCATCTTTGTTCCTAAACCTGTCTCAGGCCCAGGTCCTGGCTCCATCATCATATGCCCTCATACACACATATACACACACACATACACACACATGCCACGCCACACCCAGGCACTACCTGCACACCACACCATGCACCTTTTTGTGATTTGCAAGGTAAGCTGATATTAAGCAGCCCAGGGGCAGTCCCCGCTCCTGATGCACTCTGCTTAGTTGCTATTGAAAAGTCCTAGGGAAGCATTTTGATTGGTGGACCATAGGTCATGGCCCACCTGCCAAGGTGGCAAGGTGCTGGGGAGATCAGCCCCTGTGAAACTACATGGCAGAAAAGTTCCCACAAAAAGGGAAGGATCATGCTAACCCCAGAAGATGGGAAGAATACTGGAGAGGCCAGATGATGAATTTCTCCCCTGTGGCGTCTGTGGCTTTTCAGAGAGCATGGAATGTACACAGGAGTGACAATTTGTCTACAAGAGACCGACCAGGAGACCTGTTTGTGAGGGTCAGAACACTCCCTGGGGGATGCAAATGGTTTGCGCTCAACTAGCACCGTGTCTCCATACGATAATCACTGGACTACAAACCACAGGTCCGCAAACCACAGGTCCGTGGTTTGAGCCTACCAGCTGCTCTGTGGGAAAAAGATGAGATGTTCTGTTCCTGCAAAGATTTAAGATTTAAAGCCTCAGAAATCCTATACAAGGAAGCTATGATTCGAAACCAACTCAGCAGCACTTAACAACAGCTAACCTAAAGGCTGACAGTTCCAATCCACCCAGCAGCCCTGCAGAAGAAAGTCCTGGCGATCTGCTGTCATAAAGATTACAGCCAACACAACCTCCGGAGCCGTTCTGCTCTGTAACACATGGGGCTTCCAGGAGTCAGAACTGACATGGCAACATGTTTTGGTCTTTTGGTGCCAGAGCCCTAGAGCATCTGGACAGAAATCCAAGTGTGGATGGGGCAGCCCAGGTCCTGCCCAGCCGAGTGGAACTCTGTTGGCCTTTCCATGGCTCTTCCCCCAAAACAGTGGCCCCTGGGAAACAAGACAAACTGATAGAATAGACCATTAGTTCCCATAACACCCCACTCCAACCCGGCACAGCCCCACCTCAGCAGACCCCAAATCAGGTAGGTGGGGCAAGCCAGGGCAGGAGACGCATGGGAAGACCCATGGTCAAATCCTCAGGATTCTGGCCAGCTAACTGGGGACAGTCCCCTTTCCCAGAGAGGCGATCCCTCACGCCCTCAGACAGGACTGACCCCAGAGCTCTGGGCTGGCCTCCCAGCTTGGCATGAGGGTGAGGCTGAGGCAGGCCTGTGCTAAAAAACCAATTGCCTCTCTGCTCTGTCACCACCACACAGCTCAGAAAACATGTCGCTAACTGCAAGATAATGCACTGGACCGCAAGGTCGGCATCGCAAACTCACCAGCCGCTCCTCGCTCCTCGGAAACCCTATACAGGATTGTTATGAGTCAGCACTTAACAACAAGCAACCTGGGATAGGCTCTTGCCTCCAAGAAGGTGGTGGGGCGTTTCCTTAAGGTCACCTTGCTTACTGACCTGGGCCTCACTGGCGCTCTTGTCTCCCGCCCCCATCTCCTGTCAGTACCTCTCAGGGTCTACTGTGTACCAGGCTGTGGGCTGGGGACTTACTAAGCGGTAAGAGTCAACACAAGAAATACACAAACACAAGGCAGCCCCTCAACACAAACATACACCACACACTACACACATACCACACAAACACACATACACTTCACATTCAACACACAGAGGCCCAAGAAAGGACTTGATTGTGAAGACCAGGGCCCAGGAAAGTGAGGCCCGGCTGGCGCACCAGTCCTGCCTTTTGGAGGGGGTGGGTGGCCTGGGGCTACTCTTTCAAGGGAAGGCGGAGTTAGTGCCTGGCGCTGGGGCAGGTGAGGCTTCCAGGGCCATGGCAGACATATGTGATAATGTGAAGTGTGTGCTGTGTGTGGTGTGGTGCGTTTCTATGGGATGGTATGTGGTGTGTGTGTGTGTGTGTGTGTGTGTGTGCATGGTATGTGAGAGAGGTGATGTGGGTAGTGAGTTTGTACAGTGTGTGTAGTTTGTATGGAGTGTGTGGTGTCTGTGGAGGGTGCCATGTGTTTATGTAGTGTGAGTGTGTGATGTGATGTGGTATGGTGTTTGTGTGGTGTATGTGGAGTGTATGTGTGTTTGTGTGTAGTGTGTGTGGTGTGAATTGTGAAGTGTATGTTGTGTGCAGTATATGGTGTGTATGGAATGTGAGGTAAAAGTGTGGTGTGTGTGGAATGTGTTGTGTATGTGTGTTCGGGTGGTATGTGTGTATAGGTGTATACATGGCATGTACGAAGTGGTGTGGGTGGTATATGAAGTGTATTGTGTGGTGTGTGAGGTGTGTGTGTTTGTGTGGTATGTGTGTTTGTGTGGTATGTGTGGAGTGTGAGGGGTGTGTGTTTATGTGGTATGTGTGGAATGTGAAGTGTGTGTGTTTGTGTGGTGTGTGTGGAGTGTGAGGGGTGTGTGTGTGGTGTGTGTGGCGTGTGAGGGGGGTGTGTTTGTGTGGTGTGTGTGGAGTGTGACATGTGTGTGTTTGTGTGGAGTGTGAGGGGTGTGTGTGTGGTGTGTGTGGAGTGTGGTGTGGAGTGTGAGGGGTGTGTGTTTGTGTGGTGTGTGTGGAGTGTGAGGTGTGTGTGTTTGTGTGGTGTGTGTGGAGTGTGAGGTGTGTGTTTGTGTGGAGTGTGAGGAGTGTGTGTGTGGTGTGTGTGGAGTGTGAGGGGTGTGTGTTTGTGTGGTGTGTGTGGAGTGTGACGTATGTGTGTTTGTGTGGTATGTGTGGAGTGTGAGGTGTATGTGTTTGTGTGGTGTGTGTATGTGATGTGTGTGCAGTGTGAGGTGTGTGTGTGTGGTGTGTGTGAAGTGTGAGGGGTGTGTGTTTGTGTAGTGTGTGTGTAGTGTGAGGGGTGTGTGTGTGGAGTGTGAGGTGTGTGTTTGTGTGGTGTGTGGAGTGTGAGGTGTGTGTTTGTGTGGTGTATGTGGAGTGTGAGGTGTGTGTGTTTGTTTGATGTGTGTGGAGTGTGAGGTGTGTGTGTTTGTGTGGTGTGTGTGGAGTGTGAGGGGTGTGTGTGTGGTGTGTGTGGAGTGTGAGGGGTGTGTGTGTGGTGTGTGTGGAGTGTGACGTGTGTGTGTTTGTGTGGTATGTGTGGAGTGTGAGGTATGGTGTGTGTATGTGATGTGTGTGGAGTGTGAGGGGTGTGTGTGTGGAGTGTGAGGGGTGTGTGTTTGTGTGGTGTTTGTGGAGTGTGCGGTGTGTGTGTTTGTGTGGTGTGTGTGGAGTGTGAGGGGTGTGTGTTTGTGTGGTGTGTGTGAAGTGTGAGGTGTGTGTATGTGATGTGTGTGGAGTGTGAGGTGTGTGTGTTTGTGTGGTGTGTGTGGAGTGTGAGGTGTGTGTGTTTGTGTGGTGTGTGTGGAGTGTGAGGGATGTGTGTTTGTGTGGTGTGTGTGGAGTGTGACATGTGTGTGTTTGTGTGGCGTGTGTGGAGTGTGAGGTGTGTGTATATGATGTGTGTGGAGCGTGAGGGGTGTGTGTTTGTGTGGTGTGTGTGGAGTGTGACATGTGTGAGTGTGAGGTGTGTGTATATGATGTGTGTGGAGTGTGAGGTGTGTGTGTTTGTGTGATGTGTGTGTGTTTGTGTGGTATGTGTGGAGTGTGAGGTGTGTGTGTTTGTGTGGTGTGTGTGGAGTGTGAGGTGTGTGTGATGTGTGTGTGTTTGTGTATGTGTGTGGAGTGTGACATGTGTGTGTTTGTGTGGCGTGTGTAGAGTGTGAGGTGTGTGTATGTGGTGTGTGTGGAGTGTGAGGTGTGTGTGTTTGTGTGCTGTCGTCTGAGGTGTATGTGCACATGTGTGGTGACTGTGGTGTGTATGAAGTGTGTGGTGAGTGTTTATGTGTCTGCCCACTGCTCTGAGCTATGAGCCCCAGTTTTCTTCTCTGACTTCTGCCTCAGCGAGTGCAGCCTCCAGACGGGCTCCCTCCCGCGTGGGCCTGAGCCCCACAGTTGGCACTCCATTAGTGGTTCAGCACCCACAGCTCAGTGGCACCTGAATCCTCACCCAGGACTCACGTGTCCACCCTGTCCAATCAGCTACAGCTAGGCAGGGAAACTTCCAGATGCAGTGGTGCTGGTGCTCGGGGACAGGAGAGGAGGTGACAGTGGACGGGCCAGGCTGCAGCCAGCGGTGGTAGTGTGAGGCTGGTGGCCCTCAGTTATCCCTCTCTGCTCTACAGTTGTGCTGGTCGTGGTGTTTGGGATCTGCTGGGCTCCATTCCACGCTGAACGTCTCATGTGGAGCTTCGTGTCCTACTGGACAGATGACCTGCATCTGACCTACCAGTACTTGCACGTTGTTTCCGGCGTTTTCTTCTACCTCAGCTCGGCCGTCAACCCAGTGCTTTACAGCCTCATGTCTAGCCGTTTCCGAGAGACCTTCCAGGAAGTCCTGTGCTTTGGAGTCCGGAACCGCCGCTCCAGACACCGCCACAGCTCCTATAGCCTCCACAAGGTGACCACTGGCAGCACCCTGTATGACTTGGGCTCCCCGAACAGCAGGGCTCTCCCTCTGATTGAGGGAGACTGACCACCCTGAGGGATCCTGGAAACAGCTTTACCAGAGGCCTGACGGCCACATGCCTTGACCAATGGGCAATTCAACCAGCCTTCTTCTGCCAGGAAGCCTTCATGACTTGTCCCCTTTGTGTCCTGTCCCCACTCTGACCAGCACCTCAGTGACTCCTGCCCCACCCACATATTTGAGATGGACAGTTCTGAGAGAAACAGTGATTCTGAGGTCTGCGTTGTACTAGGCACCATGTGTCCCCCTCAGAAGGGACAAGTGCAGCCTGCTCTCCAGACCCCCAAGGCCTCCATGCCACGCATTCAAGTGCTTCCCTGCAGAACCATGGGCATCAGTTAACAAGAACAGCCACCTCGCCTTCGCTCACCTCATCTCCCATTTCTGGAATGTTCCCTCTGAGCCATGTTTTCTCCCTGATCTTATCAAACCTCCTGTTCTGGCCCATTCTGTCCCTCGCTAGCTTTCTACCTGTACCTGCTTCCTCTCACTGGCCCCCAGTCACCTGGAATCTGCCTGGTGGGACTGCTGGGGGCGCAGGGGTGCCTTGGGATCCAGGGAATCTGGTCCAGTCTCTGCTGTCCCCTTATCATATTCAAGGGAACTGCCTCCCCTTTCCAGACCCCGGTTCCCATACGTAAGGGGCCCGACACGCTACAGTGTCTGCTTTAACACTTTCAACTGTGGCTTGTTTGTAGGTAGAAGTCACTAGAAACTGTTGAGACCTTCCGGGGACAAGACGTAAATTCCTCTGTGCCTTCTTATCACCTCTCCCCCAACTTCCTTCCTAACCTCCACCTGCCCCCACCTCACCTCCAAAAGCCACTCAGAACTTGTTTTTTGCTTGTGCTAGAAGCAGAGTGGGGGTGTTATGCATTGGATTGTGTCCCCCCAAAATATGTATCAACTTGGCTGAGCCAAGATTCCCAGCATTAAGTGATCACCCTACATTTTGCTACCTGATGTAATTGCCCTGTGTATTATTAATCCTCACCTTGATGTCAATGAGGCACCATCAGAAGCAGGTACGTGAAGGAGGCAGGATGCAATCTCCAAGATTAAGCTGCATCTTTTGAGATATAAAAGGTAGTAAACAAAGGAGTAGACATCTGAGGAACCTACTATCACCAAGAAAAGAGAGTGAAGGGTGGAGTGTGCTTTTTGGACCCTGGGTCACTGTGCTGGGAATCTCCTAGATGCATGGGAAGATGAATGCCAAGACACATGGAGATCGTCAAGGAACTCTGGCCCATGGATACTAGAAGGAGACAAGGACCTTCTCCTACAGCTATGCCCTGAATTCACACTTCTAGTCTCTGAAACTATGAGAGAATAAATATCTGTTAAAGACATCTACTTGTGGTCTTTCTGTTTAAGCAATAGAGGTAACGAGAACAGGATGATGGCCAGGGGTGGAGGATGGGGGGTTTGGGGTGGGGGTGGGGGAGGAGACTTGGCATTGAACCGAGGATCATATGGGAATACAGCCCCTACCTGTGTGCTCCCAGTCTTTCCTTAGTATAGGTAGCTTGAGGACTTGAGGTCAGCAGAGAGCTGGACCTAGCTGCCAGGTGGATTTCTGGAGACAAGACAAAGGCATGGGCCAATCAAACACAAAAAGTAACACTGGGGAGGGCTCTGCTTTGGGCTCCAGGAGGTGAGAAGAGAAAAGGAATGAAAAAGTCCAGGAAACTAAATGTCATCTTGAGTTCCTGGGAACCGATTTGGTGTTCAATCAGGAATCAGTCAATGGATGAAGTTTGTCCAGGGGTCACCCAATCCTGATGTTTTAGGATTGGAGCCATCCTGGAGTCAGGAGTAAAGGCAACCCCAGCGCCCCGGGCTGTGAGCTACAGGATGACCCAGCTGAAGACTGTGGTGAACTATCAAGGATCCATTCACGTCTCCCCAGGTTCCTGCCTGTAAGTGCAACAGATTGTAGAGGGTTGCACATAATGTCATTTAGATTAAAAGTCCAATTATAAAAGCAATAAATGCTCATTGAACATTTGACATGTACAAGTAAGCAAAAAGGAAAAGAATTTATAAATATTCAAGAGTACCCATCACTGTGGAATCCCAAACAGTAAGTATACTTAACTCCTCACCCAATGGTTGGAGGATGGCGTCCACCCAGAGGTACCTCCAAAGAAAGGCCTGAAGATCTACTTCCAAACCTGCCATTGAAACCCTGGGAAGCCCAGTTCTACTCTGAGCCTCGTGGGGTCACCGTGAGTCAGAATTGGCTGTTGGTAAACTGATTACCTATAACCTAGTCTCCAGAAGGCAGATGGTTCAACCCCCACTAGAGGCACCATGGAAGGAATGGGCCTGGAAATCTGTATCCATAAGGATTACAGCCAACTGGACCCTGGAATACATGGGTCTCTCCAAAGGAACACCTCAAGGGCACAGCAAAAAAACAAAACCCAAAAGGCCATATTACATAATCATGATGTTCTCTCTTTGATTTTAAAACGCTCTCTTTTCACACCAATAATCACAGCAGCATTATTTACAATAGCAAAAAGACAGAGACAGTCTAAGTGCCCATCAACTGAAGGATGGATAAACTGTGGTACAACTCACAATGGAATATTATGCTACCTTGAAGAATAACAAGGAAGCTGCAAGCCACAGCATAACATGGATGAACCTTGAGGACATTATGTTGAGTGAAATTAGTCAGTCACAAAAGGAGACATACTGCATAGGACCACTACTGTAAAAGACTAAGAAAAAGAAACCATACTAAAGTGGGGGGGATTCTTTGCTGGTTACCGGGATGTGGGGGCTGGGGTGAGGGGAGGGAAGGGAAGGTGAACCACAGGGTAAGGAATAGACACAGGATAGTTTGGGTGCTAGGGAGGGGGGCAATACACAAGAAGGGGGAGGGGAATGGAAGAACAAACCTGACAGGGAAAACAATTAGGCAGGTTTGCATGGGTTAAGTGGGACATAGGTAAATAATGATGTATGCACAACCTTGGAACAACAGGGCTCTCGGATACAGGGACTGAGACATGGTTGGAATGGGGAAAAGGGGGGAAATAATGTTAAGATGCTTGGCTGTCTTTTGAATCTTGGTTTCCCTGGCATACCGTTATAAAATATACACTTGAGGGGGAGAGAAAGGAATAGCCAGAAATATCATCATAGAAAGTGTGTAAGTCTGTCTTCTCTTTATAACTGATTGGAATACCTAAAATGGGGCTACAATGTGTCCAGTGAAGGAGGCTTCCTGAGGAGTCTCTGCATTACATAAGACCATAGGTGGAATCCTGAACCCTATCCAGAATCTTCTGAGGTGGGAAATTACCATGTGAAAGGACAAGCAGACCAGCCTGGGGCAGCTAGAAGAACAGAAGATACTTCTTGAAAAAACAACATGAAAAATACAAAACAATTTAGGCAGTCCGACTGATTACTACAAGAACAAGCAAGTTGCTTGCCAAGGAGACATCAAGGCAAGTGGTCAGGTCTCCTCAAGGTAAACCCCCTTCCAAGACTAAGACTCAATGGGAATACATGATCTAATTGGTGACCACATTCATCACCAATAAGGGGAAGAGAGGGAAAAACAGCAATGAAGCTGTGAGCTAAGCCCTACAATGTTCAATAGACTCTTGTGTATCCGGGTGGAGACCTGGTTGGCCAGAAGTGTGGCAAGACCTGGGGACTCTTGGGCCCAGAGTTAGTGACATAGCCACAGAGGACTAGAGTGGTGAGTGAAGCATCCAGCTGATAAGGAGAGAGGGCATATGCACAAGAACACCCACACTTGCAGATAATATCCACTTGACCTGACTTCAATGACTGAATGATCAGAGCTCAACTAGAAGAAGAAAGAAGAGGGGGAAAAAAAAGAGTAACCTGATACAATTTGATGAACTTGACCTACACCTATGGATGCAGTGGTTCAAAAGAGGGAACAAATCTTTACAGCGAGGATCATTCCCACCCCTTCCATACACAGAGTAGACAGGGATAGGCAACTTGGACATTGGCTACCCAAAATGGGGGGCTATAAAGGCAAGAAGTGACTGGCTTACAAGCTTTCAAGAGAGGCCCCAGATCCAGAGGGTGCTGAGGAAGGTAGAATCTCCACTGAGTAGTATCCAATCTGTCTGGGCGGGGCTGATGAAAGGAGATGCAGAGAGGTCTCTTGTGATACAATAGTGAATGATTGTTATCAGGACTGACTGTGATGGTTGGAAATGTAAATGTAGATGTTTTGTAGCAAAAGGAAGGGAGTGATTGACTTTGCAGTGTAGGAGCCGAGGTCCCTGGGACCATCAAGGGAGAAGAGCGGAGCGTGGGACCCTCCCCAAAGAAGCAATGATGCCAGAGATGGAGGCAGAGATGACGACATGTAGAGATGGAGCGGCTGGGGACTCTAGACCCTGAGAAGGAGAGGGACTGTGTGCTGACTACTGGGGTGGGGGGCGGGGTAGTGGAGGCAGGCTTGCAACACTTTGTTTTGCTGATAATGCATGGAGGGGACTGTAACCATGACAATGAAACGACATAGTATAGGATGAATGTAAAGCTAATGTTTTCCCATGTAAACTATCACATAATTCACAATAAAACATACAGAAAAAAAAAAAGCTGTCTTTTTTTGTCTCCTATCACATAGTATTTTATTTTATTATTTTTTAAGTTTTTATTGTGAATTGAGTGAAAGTTTAAAGGGCAGATCATCAGTTCTACATTCAATAAATCATACACTTTGTTTCATTACAATGATTATAATCTCCATGTACCATTAGTTAACAGTATTTCTCTGTTCATTTTAGCTTTTTTTTTTTTTTTAAACACTCAGGCATATATAATTTTTTTTTCTTTTTTTTCAAGTTTTTATTGTGAATTGAGTGAAAGTTTATAGGGTAGATCATCAGTTTTACATTCAACAAATCATACACTTTATTCCATTACAATGGTTATAATCTCCTTTATGTACCATCAGTTAACAGTATTTCTCTCTATTCATTTTAGCTTTTTTT